GTTTATTAAGTTACATTGGAATTTAAAACATTTCATTTTGCACTGTGTGAGAGTAATTAAATGTACATTGGTATTTTTCACTTAGATTCGACACCACCCATGAAGCTAACAACATTGATTCTATATCAAAACAAGCTATAAATAGCACTCAAGATATTAAGGAGGATTTTGAAAGGTATGATTATCATATTACTCAGAATTCAAGATTTATATAGTTGCAGTGTCTGTCTACCTTACTGTAGGGTATACTTACATGTTTTGTCATCCAAGCTAACATTTAATGTATCTTGAGCCCAAAATGTATTAAATTCTAAGCTGTTGAATTTTGTAGTCATCCTGAGTACTGAGTTCTATTCTACAATCTACAATCGGTTTAGGATGTAATCACATATTAAAGCATATTTAAAAGTGCACACTATTTTTTCAGTTATGAGAAGGCCATGTGTAATAGTATCCTGTATACATTTTCATATTTTTGTTTTTTCATTAAATTCATTTATCAATGTTTTATTTAATCCACACACATTCATTTTAAAATCAATGCATTTTTATTTCTCTTATTTCTATTTGCATCTCAGTCATGTATAATACAGTATGTGTATTCAATTGCTAAATAAAATATTTGGATAAAAATAATAATAAAATTATTGGTATTATTATATATTTAAAAAATAGTAATAAACCAAAAAAAACTATGGTTCATGAATGTTACAAACATTTATTTATCACACATAAAAAACATAATATTTATGCCCGGAATTTAAATTCTATTTTTCTAGGGTACAACCAGGAAGTGTTGAAAAAGGAATTAGCCACACTGAAGAGGGAGTGGATAATGCTGCAGAACAGGAAGTACCTAGTAAACCTCTAGATGAAATAGCACTGCCAATAATTACTCAAATTCCTGACAACTTAGAGGTTGAAGAAGAGGAACATAAAAGTGAAGAACATCAAAAAGAGAAGGAAAATATAGAAGACTTTATTGATGATTCTACTGCTCAAACTGAGAAAAACCTTGAGGAGTTTCTTGGGCTGGATTTTGAAAAAGAGATGAAAAAAGAGGGGATTGGGAAAGATAAGGAAGAAAGAGAGGGAGGAGAGGGAGTAATCGAAGGAAGGATTTCAAAAGAGTATAAACCAAGTGCTTCCAAGGGTGAACATGGGGAAAATGTGCAATATGATAAGGATGAAACAAACTCAAATAAAAAGGACAAAAACATTGATATTCAAAACATAGATGAAACTAAAATCACAGTACATGGAAAACATGTAGAGCAGGGTGATAAACCAGAAGATAAAAAGGATGAAGTCGATGTGGAGAGAGTGACAGTCGATGTGGAGAAAGTGGCAAATGATGAGGAGATCGCAGAGGGTACAAATGGTACTGCAGTTGAGAAGCATCAAAAGGAAGACACGACGGAGAAGAAGGAAGAAGAGGAAGTTGATAAAAAGGAAGTTGATGACCCAATGCTATCATTTAATGAGTGGAAGCAGCAGATGCTTGAATTAAATGAACAAGAAAAAATGCAAGGTATGACATTTGCATTATTTAATAGATTAATCAATGGTAATGCCTTCTACAAAAAAAAATTAAAAAATCGATATTAATAACTAATTCAGAAAATTACATAAAGTATTCTATTAAGCAAACATAATTATGGTAATTGGTTTGTATTCTAAAATTCTTTCTACAACTAACATCATCCCTGTGCATTTTAAAAAAATTAATATAATGCATTGCCATATTAATAAATCAATTAATTGATGCTTCAGTCAATCAATCCTTCAATTTGTCTATTGGTATTTGGTCATATAGAGCTCAATGTACTTCTACTTATCCAACAATAAACAAACTACATGGTGAACCTACTTAATGATATAAATATACCAATTGAAGTTTAGTACTGGAGTATAGTAAGAACAGCATTATGTGTAGCAGATTGTTTATCCTAGGATAAATATTTACATGAATTACATACTGTAATTTACTACATGCAGTGCTCAAGAAAAACGAAAAACGAGAGATTTTTAACACAACAACTATTAGTAAGTGCACTTGTCTGTATTTGGTTGGCCAGCCATGCATCTAATGGTGCGTGTACCATAAAAACAAATCCATTAAAGTACAGCTTTAACAACAGATACAAAGAATATATTTGGGTGTTAGCCTGAATTAGTCAATGGGGGAGCCATGCATCTAAAGTTTGTTTATGGTGCATGTACCATACAAACAAATCCATTTAAAGTACAGCTTTTACAACAGATACAAAGAATATATTTGGGTGTTAGCCTAAATTAGTCAAATGGAGATATTATTGTAGTAGAGTGTACAGTACCTACTGTATAGTATCATTCTAGCATTCACTTTTTACAGGACATTGGAGGTTCTTCCATTGAAATAATTTTTTGTATGATTACAGTATGTATATCCATGGAGGAATTACTAAACTAATTCCTCCATGGTATATCCATAGAGCTATAATAGGGTATACCTCAATGGTTGTCTTTTGTACCTTCTGTTTACAGTGAAGGCATTTTAATACTAGCCACATGCTCATAATACATGTTGATATTGTAATTTTCTGACTCTGATTTTTACATGTTTTTTGAAGAATGGCCTCACAAAATAAATAATATAGAACAAAATATATATTTTTTTAATGGAAATTTCTGAGAAATGTTTAATCACTTGTGTATAAATGTTATTAATGAAATGAAAAAAAATAATGTAACATGGTAGTCATCAATGTTTGTCAAGTGGATATTTTCATCAGTATACTATTTTCTTTCTAATATGCTCCTCATTAAGAAAGACAGTTTCTTCAATAACAACCCCATCTTCATTTTTTTCTCTATGATCTCATTTTGTTTCACTTTTTTTTAAAGGTCTGATTTTGGTTTACCCCCACCCTGTACACCCCACACCTTCTGACAAGTCCATTTTGTACCTGAAATAATGACTAAAATAATAATCGTTTTTTTTCCTCCTCAGCTAACTACGAAGGTCAACCTGTTCCTGTACCACGACATAGCACAAAGCTGTCAAATAAAAACTATGCATCTGCTGACTGCGGAGCCAAAATCATAGATTCTAACAAGGAGAGTCAAAGAACAGCATCAGCTATCCTGTCCAACAATAAAGATGAGTACATGTTGAACCCATGCACAGCTAAAATATGGTAAAGAATCATTAAATCTTTTTTATTCTGTCTTATCTTTGGCATATTCAATTTTTGTCATTGAGTGTTATTTTCATTCAGTTGGTTCATTAACAAAAATGTGTTTCATTGACAATAAAATTTAATGACACCAGATTGCATTTCAAATCAATGTTACTTTTTCATGAGACCTAAGCAAATACATGGCAAGTCAACTATTAGTAAATTAATATACGTTTTATCACATTTTTCTTGCATATCATGTATGTTAGTTTTGATATTTCTTTTTAGAGATAAAAAAAAAAGTTAAAACATGCACTGCATTATGATCCATCTATCTACGGGGAGTGTGAATGTTACAATGGCTCTCATTCGCACTATATATTACTAGTTATAGAAACTGTAATGTACATTCTAAAGGTCATCGGGTCATTGCTTAGCAATGCTATGTTGTATAGTACACAATCACAGGATGTTGAATGCTTAATTTGAGAACCCCTGCTATTCTATAGGCATCATGTAACTGGTATTATGACATATGCTATGTAGTTGCTATACTGTATATAGGTAACTGATTTTTATTTTTTTGCAAATAATATACGCAATTATGTTATACACTTGGTATTAAGAAACTGTATACATTTTGCATAGATGATAACAACAAGTAATAAACGCTGTGCATTATATAGCTGTATAAGTACTACTTGTTATCTTTTATAACACCTCCATCGGTGATATAAAGATGGTAATGGTCCTTATAGCTGCATAGTGCAAAGGTTTACACCATCACTTATGGTGCTAAAAGTATTGTACATGTAGTACCTTTAACTATTTGCACAGGTTCTATTATTGCCATTCAAGTATTCTTTGGCATCATAAAATACAGGATTTCCTGGCAACAAGCATGAAACTGTTGCCTGTAGTTACTTTGATGATTTCTGTAAAATTTCCTTCCTGGAACCTTTAAATTTTAGAGCATGAAATTTACATGAATTTTATATGTTTTTATTCAATCAAATATTATATTTTATTTTGTAGGTTCATGGTTGAAATGTGTGAACCTATTCAGGTAAAGAAAGTTGAGATTGCCAATTTGGAACTGTTTTCATCAACACCTGAGAGCTTCAGGGTCTTTACCAGCGATAGGTATGTCATGAGGGCAACATGATTAATTTTTTTTCGTTCCATTCAGACTCAATTTATTTCATCCTTTAAAAGGAAATAAATGGTTGCAATATATACATAAAAAATTCCAGTTAAAATAGTAAACATGCAAAATATGAAAGCTCCATATTTTCATTTGTACTCCGATTCAATTTTTAAAATTCATTAATAGCAAGTAGTGGATTAGAATACTTGCCACAAATCTGTAATATACTGATATTTCCTAATATTAGGTAATTTTGGAGAGTGCCACTAGCATCTGTTTATGTCGAGAAACTTGTTATTTCGTTGAATTTGGATGGAATTAAAAACCCAAAAAATGTATATAGTATGGAACACCATGCAAATAAGGAACCATTGGTGCCAATCGATTTAATGTTAAGCGTTTTCACTGATTAAGACAAAATTTAGGGACTGGAATCCAGTCTACAATTAAGTGTGTGAGATACTTGCAACCAACATGTACTATGGTAGATCAGTTGTTATATCAATTTGATGATAAGTAATATCCAACAGATGATGTAAAACCTAAATAAGGGGAGATTTTTAATATTTTTCAGTTTCTGTGGTAATAGAGAGCGAACCCTTGGTCTCTTATTGTTCTTCCCGATTTGCATTGATTTATTATAAAACATAATCATCATTTACGTCATTTGCAACTTAATGTTATGCATTTTCAGGCATGCCTTTGCCCAGACTAATGCTTTTAAGTTTTCCACTTTTAATCACTTTCCCATTCTTTGGGATAACCTCCCGCAGTGGCGTATCTAGCAGTATTGAGTCTGTCTCTTATACACATCTAGATGTGTATAAGAGACAGCCCTTGGATATGGCACTGGTTGGAAGATGACTGCAATTATCATGCTTGGGCATGTCTGAATACCGAGTCTTCTGAGTGTCTTGTTTATTGTATCCGATTTGCTTGCATTTTTTATTTATGTATATATAAAATTTTATCATTAACTAATTTGTATAAAATAAACTCAAATTACATAAGTATATATTTTAAAAATAATAAAAGGATGCTTCTAACGGTTGAATGATTGTAATTTAAATGCTTATTATTTTCTATATTGTAACTTATATTTATATTACATTCTCTTTGTGTTTTGCTGTTCTCTGATTCTCCACATCGGATGGAGACCCACTTTGACAGTAATTTATTTTACTTTTTGGTTATCCCGTCGGCCCTTGTGGGGAATCAGAGACCAACATTTATTGTATCTTTTTTGTTCTTGGTGACTGTTTTATTCTTTTATATTGTAATTGTTTTCGGTTAAATAAATGAAATGAAATGAAATTAGTCTAAGCTTACCAGGTGTGTTAATGGACATAACACAACAAATCGTTCCATTCAAATCCCTTTTTAGGCATCCAACGGCATATTGGCGGGACATAGGCCTCTTCCACGCACGAGATGAACGATCTACACAAACCTTTCCGATCCATGATGAGACGCTGTTTACAAAATTCATAAAAGTGGAGTTCTTGACATTTTTTGGAAAGGAGCACTACTGTCCAATATCATTGCTAAGGTGTGGTTTTGATATTGTAATTAAATAATATAAAAAAAATATAATATAAAAAGTATAAAATAATAAACATGGTAATAGCATATAAATAGATAAAAGGTAATAAAGATTACATACATTTTTTTACTTCATTTGCTATTACTGTATAGATAATATTAATTTACAATTTATTTTTACAATACTTTACTAAGAGAACTATGCAGAAAACCTTGGAAGAAATCTGTTATTCAAAAATAATGAATAATTGTTACTGGAATTTCATTGATATTAGAGTGTTTGGCACCAGCATGGAGGAAGAAATTGACAGTGAAAGTGATCACCAGATTGATGCAAGCCCACCTGGTATGATTTTAATTAGCTTCTCCAATCCAAATCTAAAGACAATTTTATCGGTATCCATTGTGTTTCAGTATGAAGATCTCTAGGACAAACGTGAACATTATTAATGTGATATTTACATACTGTATAATTTCTTAACTTGCATTTAATCTAATCTTGCGTAATGAATTTACTTTAAATTTTCTTAAAAACAAAAATTTTTAGAAGTGCTTCCAGTACATCCAACTGTCACACCAGAGGACACCAGTGCTGATGGAATCTTTGACAGTGTGATCAAGATAGTGGAGAAGGCAGCAAAAGCATTCCGTGGTGAGAGCAAAGACCCAGGTGTTGGCAATGCGTTCAATGAAGCATGCTTTGGTAGGCAAACATTATTAATCAATAGTTCTCTGAGGCAATTTGTTAAAAACTGGTTCTATCTACAGTAGTATACAGAGCATTCTAATAGCTATATTTAGATGTGAATGTGGTGTGACACAGCCATTTATATTTCATACAGTAAGTAGATGATAACATTTAGGGCAAGTGTCACAAGATCTTAAGATACTTTAGATCACTGAATGAAGCTTTTATGTTAACATCAAAAGCTATGAGCTGAGTAAACTATAACTGAGTAAAATAAAAAAAATGTATCTTGTGAAAAGAAAAGTTCAAAAGAACTGGCCTACTGTGCGTAAGCTTAACAAAGAAAAATATCAACAAATTTAAATATTACAACAGCCAAGAAATTTTAAAAGCTGCTTTTCAAAGACAAGAAAGTACTTTGAGTAATGCTAGGCACAATAGTCTAGCACTGTCAATGTCATTGATGGTAGGTGAGTAAATACTTAATGCATATGTAGCTCAAAAATAGAGATTGATGTATTATGTATTTAATTCTGTTGTGGATACTTAGGTGAAGCAAGAATTCCTAATGAGCCAGAAAGTGTTCAAGAGGATGAGCTTATTGCCTGTTTTCCACATTCCAACAGGTAATAATTGTCTTAATTGCTGTCATCACCGTTATAATAGACCTTTACACTTAGCCCCGCCCTTGGAAACAGTTGCTAAGGTCTCACATAACAACAATGTAAAAACATATGCAAACATGTGCATTTGTGGGACAACACATGTGTTTGTGAGATGTGTGCGTATTCCTGGTACTGCTCTGATTGGTCAGTTGTTAAGTTTGATTGACACTCCGGAAAGGTCTATTATGCTTGCAATATATCATTTTTTTTAAAACTCTTTTAACCACCTGTTATAATTATTTTTAATATAATTACAGTATTGTGGTAAAATCTTCCTGTCCATCAATGAAAGTTACAGATATTCAGTAACTTAACACCAATCTTATATTCAGATAAAAAAAAAATATATATTATTGTCTTATGACACAGCATTCTGCGCTAATGTGTATGTGTTTAAATTGGCAGTTATACAGTCATTCCTCTATTCCTGTTGATTATGTAGAAATTCTCAATGCTCAGTCGCCTAAGCCATGACAATTATTACATATTGGGATGTTACATACTGTATATTTAAGATTTCTTTTTTATTTTTATAATTCAACAGTGTTCTAGGAAGCCATATTAATGCTCTGAGAAATAAACATCAAATGATGCAGAAAAAGCTGATGAAAAGTACTGAAGAGAAAATAAAAACTATCAAGACATCAACAGATAAAAATCCTCCACAAAAAGAATCTGCTGCTAATAAAACAAACCAAGACTCTATAACCACCCCAACTCATTCCATACCTGTATGGAGTATTGTGTGCAAGTCATGCCAGTATAGCTTCAGACCTCATTATGCAGATATCTTCCATGAGTGCCATCTGGTTGCACTATCAATATTTGAATTTGGGATTTACTTCTGCTGCCACGATGCTTCAATCAGAACTCGGACTTACGATGGAACCATCACTCTTAGGGCACCTAACATAAGCAAGTGCAATAGTAGCAGTACAACAAGGAAAGCTTCTGCCAACATCAGTAAAGTCATTGAAGCAAGTGCTGCCAGTATGTCAACTACAGTGAAATCAGTTAATGTCCAATCAATTAATGTTCCATCAGAAGAAAGTGTTGATATCCATCTAGAGAGCACTCCTTCAGTTAGTGTGCCATCAGGTACTGATGCCACAAAAGAGACTCCTCCTTTGCCTGACATTGAAAATATTCCTTTCAGTGGAGATTCTTCTGACAAAATGGAGAGTGACACCCAAAAAAATAACATCCCTTTGGTAGAAGAAACTGATAAAGAAAAGCCTAGTAACATTATTCAAAATGTTGAGGACAAATTGCTAAGCAAAGATGTGAGCTCACAAACCAAACCAAATGATGTGATTCAAGAGGAATCCTTCAGTAAAAAGGAAGATCCAGTAAACACTGAGACATCTTCAAGTGGCATCCAAGATTCTGTGATAGACACCAATAAAAAAGTAGCCGACAGTGAGTCAGACATGCATGTGAATTCACTGACTGTAGATAAGAAAGATGATCAGATAAAAACAGAGACACAACAAATTAAATTAGACCCAGTCAAAGAGCCTGCTTCAGAACCATCCAGAAATGACAACATTTCAAAACCATCAGACACAGCTGCATCAGATATCAAAGAGCATTTATTGCCTGATAGCACTGATTCTGTTCCAATCAAGTCTTCTGAGCCAGCTCCTGGCAGCTCCACAAAGCCTAATGATGGTAATGGACAAGAAAATGGTACAAACGGAAAATCAAAAACAATTCCTGGTGATGGATTCTCTAATCAGTTTGGACTTGGGATCCAAAAGGAATCTGTGCTTATGAGACTGAACAATCGAATCAAATCTTTAGAAGTCAACTTATCTCTAAGTACTCTTTATTTGCAGGAACTCAGTCAACGGTAAGTATTAAAAATTATTTTTTCTGCGATTTCTCTCCCAACAAATCACTTATTACTTGTTCCAAAAGCCACACTCATTGACACACAACCATTGAGAGAGATTGTCTAATATTGTACAATTATTTTTTCCCAAGGTGGAAACCTTAACTTCATTATCAATATTAATTTTTTTTATGTCTGCTCTTCATGACCTCTTTTTGAAAACTTTATATAATTTTAATGTTTCTTTCTTATAGTGTGTATATTGATTTTCAAAAAATAATTGTTGAAACAAAATGTCTTTTTGCATATCCATTATTGAATTATTTAAAAAAAAGAAAGATCTATACAATGTAGTACTTTCTCTGTCTTTTCAGTTATAAGAAGCAGATGGATGACATGCGAAGAAGCTATGATACTAAAGTGGCCAAGCTCTATGAGAACGCAATGATGGCTGAGGAGAAGGTTTGATACTGTCATAGTGATTTATTTTAGGTTTGTTGTTTTGTTGATGGTAATATGAGGATGAGGTTGAGAATTATGGTTGGACTGATGCAAATCATGGTAATGATAATTATTAAGGATGATTGTGTTGATGATGTTAATAAGTTTGAAGACCATGGGTTTTAGTGGTTGAGATGTGACATGTAGGGTCAGAGCATCGACAAAGGTGATGAGAGCAACACCAATAGGGCCAGAAGGAGAATGACAATGAGAAGAAGAATGACAATGAAAAGGAGGGGAGGAGGTAGATGAGTGGGATTGAAGATGACTAGGTTGAGAATCTTGGTAAATATTGAATTGTGATGATGATGATGATGATGATGCAGATGTTAAGGATGACAATATCAATTATAATGATAATGATTATCATCAAAAATGGTGATGTTATGATATATCATAATATATTTTAATCAAAGCCAATTAATGCAACATTGACCCTGGTAGTAAATGGGTGTGTGTTTGTGTGTATAAACAATAGTTTTGGTTTGTTGACAGGCATATATAATTATAATAAAATTCTTTTGCTTTTTCTCTTCTAGGAACAAATACAAACAGAACAAGTAAAGATCCTTGAGGATGAAATAAAGCAACTAAAGGCTTCACTTCATAATATCAATATGACACTTGAAAATGCATACAAAGAGGTGAGGGCTATAGCTTTGAAGTCTTGATTTCAGTTCTTTCACTTCAATTCATTAATGTGTTTGTTCTTCTTTAGCACTTCTTCCTTGCGGTTGCAAACTGCTAAAATGGTTGTGGTTATTTGAAGAAGGGGCTATCTCGATACTAGCCTCACAAATACTGCCCTCAACCTAAATATTTCCCTCACAAATATTGCCCTCAACATAGATATTAATCGATATACTTTTATTTTTTAGGTTTTTGAAGGTCACTATATCTTGATGCTTGTGGAAGTAGTTATCGTTGGCTTTCTTCTGATATGCACTCGTACACGTCAGCAAGTAATCCAAGAGGTACCTACAGGGCTACAGGGAACATCATTTATAGGTCAGAGCAAGGGTCATAGCAGACGTAACTCTTATAGCGGAAGGATTGATCACGAAGGTGTAGTTAAATCACAAATGGGTGCAAAATTAGAAGGTTTGTATACCATTAAAATTAAGATATTAGGTTTACCTGAAATTTACTTACTTTAAATCCTGTCTTGCATGAATCTTTGACTATTTGCCATCCTCTACCATGTACTGTACAACGTTTTAATGATTCAATTTTGTTCTGTGCTTGGGTTGGGCATTGATCATGACTACCTGTGGGTTGTAAGGTGCTTACTTTTGTGGGGTGCAGCAGTTCATATCTTTAAAGAAAGGTGCTTTATAAATGACTGGATCGGATTGGATTATAATATGTTGTCATGTGCTGTAGTAATGCTTGTTAGTTGCTTTCACTTGTATACAGCTATCCTGCATGTTATATGTGGTAGTTGAATTTTAGATTTTGTTCAGCTAAACTTAGGTGTCTTAATACGTACCCCATATGAGTATAATAGAATGCCCACATAATAAAGTTGGATTATACATCAATCCTGAATTGTACCTTTATTATAATTACATAATTAAATTGACAGGAATTAACCAATATTGCAAATAAACATTTAGAGTTAATAAGCATTTCGTATTGTTTGATAATTCTAAA